ATAAAATATTTACTTAATTGTATTTATTTAGCAATGTATACGCAATTATAAAGTAGTGATGCAATTCTTAAGAATATTTGGAGAATATTTCACATCTATACATATCGTTTTAATGTTAAGTACGGTCTGACAATTTTAGATTAAGGGCCGATTATACCAATTTTTTGATAGACTTTATCTCTCGGTTATCTAAAATAAATATCAGTAATCCTTAGTAATCGATAGTTGGAATAACGAGTAAAATTACTTCTTTTAATAATAATTTAATTTGTACGTGATCATTATCAACAAACTACTGATATATATATAGATGCAATAGTTACTCATATTTATAGATGTTTGTTTCTAAAGTCTACCAGAAAGTTGGTAATAACCAGCCCTAAAATTTTAATTGCGTTTTTCTCGAAATGAAGTTTAGTAAACTAATGTGCAACATATTCCAGTCAGTTTTGGCATAATTTATTTAAAAATTTCATTAAATTATTTTTGACTGTATGTTTTATTGTCATACGTACAATCTTTACTTTATAACAATTTGTTCGTAAAAAAATTTTTTTTGCAAACATGCGTAATTTTAAAATTTTTTAAATTCCGTACGTACAACTATAACTCGAATATTTTTTTTTATTTCTTACGCGAGAATATCGCGCATAGCACGTCAATTGTTATTTGTTCCAAATGTAGGAATAACGAGCGTAAAACGTAGTCTATATAAAAATTTTTTTAAACATACAAGTTTGTTGCTTTAATTTAAAATTAAGATAAATACTTTTATAAATACTTTATAAATACTTTTGACGTTGTTTATTGGACGGATTGGACATGCTTGCTTGTGAATTAATTGCCGGCGCAAAAAAATAAAAATCTCCCTTTTGTTTCGGATTAATATATTTTGCACACGCTAATGTTATATTTTGATAAATATGGATTTTTGAAGCAAATATATTACATACAAAGATATATCATTTATTTTTTATTTCATTACATTAAGTATATAATTTATATAAACAATCAAAGTATAATAGAAGAAAAATTGTTAATCAACTTTTTTTATTTAAATAAAACTGTTAAAATACTTCTTTCTTTCAGCGCGGTCATAATAGTGACCTTCTTTAAAATTAAATTCAACCACACCATCTAGCTTTGTAATAGCATACATATGGGTGCTATTAAATTCCACAGAAAATACTGGGTTGAAAAGAATAGGATATATATTAAATGTCTGAAAATTTTTAAGACCTTTAATAATAGATTATTAATAAAGATCATTGCAAGATACATAAAATTTAAAAGTAATACAAACTAGAATGCAATCAGTTGATCTTTGATCCCATAGAAGTACTGTACCAATATTCGTCCCTGTCATAATAGTATACAAATAATCTGAAGAGAGACTATATAATTCATAATCACTGTTTAAGACAGAAGCATCCCATGTACGTACAAATTCGAATGTTCTACAATCACAGTAACAAATATAACTAAATTAAATAGATAATTAATGTTGACAATAAGATTTATTACCTTATATCCATTTTTTTAATATATGGTTCATACAACATGAGAATAGTGTGAGTATCTTGCCATAGTAGTTGGTAACAAGTATGATCATCTATACATTCCTCCCTTACCTTACAACTAAAATAGCTTTACATTAGTTTATTGCATATTGTTCCAAACATACATGAAAACTTAGAAGACTAGAGAAAGCAGACCAAACTCCTCTCTTGTCAGCGGGCTATATAATATATTGGAGTGAGCTTTTCCCTTTAAGAACTAATATGCGGCCAAAGGATTGCAATAGTAGACTATCTGTTTTATTTTTACATTTACTGCCGTTATGATGAGAGATGTTATAAAAACGAAGACAGACATCAGACAGATTTTCTTTATTACAACTCTCTCTTTTTCACAGTGGGCCACCACCGTTCTTTTATAGGCTCTTACCAATATGTTATATAACTTATTTAGTTATAATTACGAATTATAAATACTAAATCGGATTATATAATAGTGTCTGTACAAATATAGTCAATGTTTAATTGAACATTTGTAAAAATCGATGAATTAATTGAAACATAATTTACTGTTTATTAATATCATAAATTAGAAACGATTCTTCGGTACTAGCAGCAACTTTTGTTTCTGTAGGATCTAATGAAATTGAATGAATCAAGTTCTTGCCGCTATAAATTGGTTTCTTTTTTTCCACAGAATCATCATCTTCAAGTGTATTTTTCTGTATCTAAACAAAAACGGACTTTTTACATTGTACATTCTACATTAACATAGCATAATTACAAATTTTTTAATCTTACTTTTATTAAATTTGAAGAACTTGATATAATATTTTGCGTTGTTACTTCTATGTTCGAAACGTATTCATCATATACATTGGAATGTGCTTTTAATAGTTGAATATTATTAATGTTTTTCCATGATTCAATTCTCCAATGCCTAATACTACCATCTCTGCAAAAATTTTTGTGAACATTAAAAAGGAATAAATAAACATAAAACAAAATTTATAATAAATATTTACACGTGGCCGCTTATAATTATATCATTGCAATAAGCAATGCTTGAAAATGGACAGTTACAATTTCCAAGAATCATGCCTCCCATAATGTTACCGTCTTCTGCACGATTAAAAGCTGACAGAATATTTCCGTCATAAAACCAAACTGTATTTTTAGTCATTTTTAGGCGATTTCCGTTCATTCTTCTGGCTCCCATATCTTCTATGGAATCTATAACTAAGTGACATATGATATGTTTACGAGCTAATCCATATTTCCAGTTGTAATACGTAATAAATTTAGAATTATACGAAGGTAATAGTGCTGTACATCTGCAAAAGAAAGTAAAACGTACGCTCTTCAATGTGATCCTATGTAAAATCGTGAATATTGTACGTACTGATAATATGTAAATATAAAAATGTATTTTAAAAAGACATGCTTAAAAAATTAAATCAAGTTTTGCACAAGTAAAAATATGACAAAAAGCTATGACTTAATGTTAATATGTGTAAAAAAGTTTTATCAACATATATTGTATTATATTATAAAAAATATATAAATATTTTTGTTATCTCAGAACACTTTTCTATTAATAATTGCTTTGATACAGACTAAGAGTGTCATTTTATCGATTTATTTGGTGCAAAAGTACAGAGAAGATTGTAACGTCGACAGATATAATGTATAAATTTCTTATAGCTATTGATTGAAAAATGAAAGAGGGGGCACATTAGCGCTTATGTGATTTTAATATAGAACAGGAACAATAATATGAAGCAAAAATTATCAAAAATCGGTTCGACAGTTTACGTGTTACAAAGAAAATTCTAGAATAAATTGAAATGCAAATAAGAATTAAGCTATATTTAACTTACCGTTCACAAAATTTTTTCGACACCTCATTCGTAACAAGCAAATGGTTACTTTTTTTATTTAAGACATTTTCTGATATTTCATGAAATTTTTTGCATACTCTGTTGAGCTGTAGTAAAGTATATACATCACATAAATTAAAAATTATTTCCAACATTTCGAGCGGTAAATGGTATAGAAGAGACATATTTGTCTTTTTAATTGGACGTTATCACACGAGAATATGAACACTACAGGATGACAATCGATATGTGTACTGAACGTTACACTAGGGGCGGTATTCATAGTCCGTTCTTATATTCAAGATCGTCTTAAGCACGAACTTATATTCGCTCTCTTTGTCAGACACAATCTATGTGTGACGAAGAGAGCGAATATAAGTCCGTGCTTAAGACAATCTTAAATATAAGAACGGACTATGAATACCGACCTAGAACCTAGAATCAGAGTTGTTAGAATGATACACCGAGGTCTGATCACTGACATCTATACTGTAGGCTGCTAATGCCAGACTGGCGTCAAATATATAACAACAAACTCTGCGTATTAAATTCTCGCGCATGCGAAAACGCTGATGGACAGCAGTCATTTTTTTGGTTGATGTTATGAATATAATATAATTATAATCAGAAGAATAAAAAATATATAGTATAGTATATTTATTATTAATAAATAAATATATATATATATATGTATATTGTGACGTGACGCTTTCCGTCGCGCCCGTCACAAGGGCACTAGCCCGGCCAAAGAGGGCGGAATTTGGAGTTGCGTCTCCCCGGTCGAGGAGGAAGCGATTTCTCCCGTTTCGACGGGTCTTGCGCTTTTATTTAATTATTACAATCTACCGACAAACTTAAGATTTTGGCGTTAGGGTGTATGGCCAATTTATCGTTTGGTGTAACTACCGTCAAGAAGAAGCGAACGCCGTGGGATTTCGAAGGATGACCTCGACAGTAAAGAGGAAGCCCGGAAAACATACGAAACCAAGGTTATGTATCGAGTCTCGCGTTAAACATTGTTGTAGTAGCAGTTACCAATCCTCCAATTTTGCAGGACCGAGGTTACGGGGAAGCCCCGACAAGGTCCAGATAGAGGGAGCACAGCAGTGCAACCGGATGCCGAAAGACGTTGCCGCCATCACCGAGAGTCCAAACAGACGGTCGATGTAGCCATGGCCTGGCCAGCCGGGCAGATCGAACCGGAGGACGGCAAATTCAGAGTCTCTTATTTTGAAGTATCGGCCGTTGGCGAGCAAGAATTCGTTTTCCTCATCGTAATCGGCCGAGTGTAAATGTATATTTAAGATTAATTAATCGAGCGAGACACACTGGTCAATTATCATTGAACAGGCAAGGAATTGGTGGCATTGATCGTACTGCCCGAAACGTACGAAATGAGGAAATTGTTCTTCAAGCATTTGAAGATAATCCTCAAAAAAGTATACGAGTTGTAGCACGTGAACTTAATTTATCTACAAGTAGCGTTAATAGAATTTTGAAA